CCAGACCCTCCATCTATTGTACTCACAAGCGGCTTAGGCTTTAGGGTTAGGGTGTGGGATTGTTGAAGATGCTTGCTGTCCGTTAGCCCCCCAACCCTTTAATATTTGATGCCCCCATGTAGTGTCGGTATTTCAAGGCGAGGAACATTTGTTGCAATTACGGATAATTACGGGGCCGGGGAGGTTTGTTACTAGCTCTTAACCCTAAAGCCTACATAGCATAGGTGTTTCCGTGTTGTTCTTCATTCCCCGATATACCTCTATATGAGCTATAGTCAACATTCCTAGTATCCCCCTGAATAAGCCCTGTAATACTCGCCTATATAAGCCCCGTTGAGGAGTTTAGACTAAACCTCATAAAAAACAAAATCTTTTGCGGGATGCATTGGTTGAACTGAGGGGATGAATGCATTGTCGCCACTGTCACTCTCCTGGTTAGTCTCCACGGTGTCAAACGAAGGCAAGCACCCAAGTGTTAGGGCCTTCGGTGCCGAAAAACATTTACATCATAGTATCTAGGAGCTGAAGCCCCACTAGGCTTTTTTAGGGAAAGCATCCCTAAACCCTACACTCTTATAGAAAACAGGAAACCTCAGAGGGTCCCTTGGCGTCGGAGGGACCCTGAGGGTTTCCGGCTTTTTGCCGGCAATCGAAGGCATAGTCTATTCCCATTCCGGGTACCCTCGTTCCAAAAAAAAGGCCCAGTTTCCTCTAAAAAGCATTGTCTTCCCGTCATTTCAGGCAGCCGCCCAAATGGTTCGATGCCCCAAAATATATTGCCTAACTCCTACTCTGCTGTAGGCAGCCGCCAGGACGGCCCGATGCGTTGAAACAGATCTAGGGTTTATAGGGTTAAGGGGCCTGCCGGGTCTGTACCAGGCACTTCAGAAAGTCCTGTGTCAAAACCAAACCGATATTTCGAAACCTTCTGCAGGATGTGCCAACCACAACCGAGCACGCCCTGGCTTACATGTTTACCTCCGGAAGCACAGGCATACGGGCTTAGGGTTTAGAAGGATGGCCCAATCCGAAGAAATGTAAGGGCTGTAGGGGGATGGTTCTTTGGTTACCCCAACCCGGCATTTCGAATCGGGTAGCTGCAATGTAACTGCTGTGGGTCCCTGACGAGAGGGCATGGCACGAGCAAAGATCATATCTTCCGGCGTCCCGACAGCAATCTCATCCAATTTGAGAGAGTGAGAGAGAGCGAGAGAGAGAGAGAGAGAGATATATATATATATATATGCCATATATGTATATACACATCTGCAAGGGTTTTTCCCTGGGTATTGGTTACCCTCAAATACTAGGATCCGGGATCCCCAAAAGGGATCCGCATAAGTTTGCTGGGTAGATAAACCCCCAAGTTATAACCAGGTGAGGTGATGCCCTCTAGCCCCTTATCGCGGCCACTATTATAGATGATGCTAATGTTTCCGAATATAGTCCCCCTTAAGTAGATAGAATATGGGGTATATGGGGTTCTTATTATAATATAACCAAAGCCATATTCTATCTACTTAAGGGGGATTATATGCCTACCAGTACCTAGGCAGTTTCAGAGTATTCTGAGGGCCCGCAAGCTCATCAGCGGAGGGTCATTTACTGCGTGCGGGCTGTCGCTGCGTGTCAGCGGGGCCTATAGCTTTAACAGCCCTGTGCATTGTTAGCATAGAAGTCCCTGTTATAACGCCAATCAAACCTTGGCATGTTTTAGTTTGAAATACCCAATATTTAATTGTGGCTGGTAGGAGAAAAGGAATACGTCCCCTAAACAAATTCCCCTATTTCCTACTAGCCCCCAGTAGGTATAGGTCATACCTGCACATGCAGAACTGGCAATTGTTGGCAGACCCCTAAACCCAATACCCTACATCATACAATTTTTCAACCGTATTTCAAGCAACTGTGACGATCCCCGCCTTGGAGCTCAGCAATTTCCGTAACTTACTGGGGCTTAGTGGGGAATAAGGGAAAATTGTAGGGCTCAGGACTCCGGGTTAATATGCAATAAAGGAATATGGTATATGGAGATTTTATAAGGAGTGTATTCCCTTATTCCCTACTAACCACCAGTAAGTTAAAGACATCATCTTACCGAAAGGCACGCTATGAACAAATGGGCGAGTCAGGCATAGGTACTGGCAGCCTTAGGCTAAAGTGCACATCTTTGTCAGCTTCATGTGAGCTACGGAGAAAATTTAGGTTGGGGGGGACCTATAGGGGACTATATAGGGTTTGGGGGGGACCTATTAAGGGATATACTACAAATTTAGTCCAGGACTCATGTCCTTTCGTATGTGCCAATGTCTGCATCAAGGACAAGCTATTTTCCCCGAGCCGGCATGCCATCACCTAGTAGGCCAATCGGCTGAAGACCTCAGGGTGATTGTAGCCTAAAGCGGTTCCAAGGTATATCTTGCCACACCAGGAGCCATGTCAAATAAGTACTGCATTCCCAGAACAGTCGTGGGCTATTGCTGCGAGTCCGTTTTAAGTAAGACAGCTTTTCGTTAGCTTGGCTTGGGCCCATCCAGTTCATGTCTACCTGCCTGTGAGCCAGCATGAATTAAACAACACATCTACCAACCCCAACATAAACAAAGTTCCAATTTGCTTCATGCGCTGCTTGGGCGCTTTGAGCGCTTTGGTTTGGCATGGCTGGCGACAAGAGCCCAGAGGACGTTGGGCCGTTTCTAGATTGCCAGACAGCTAGGAGGTTCAAGCGATAGCCCATACTGTGACCCTTGAGGGGACCACAAGCATAAGCAGTTTGACTTGGTGAAATGGCTTAGATTCAGCTAGTCCAGTCCTTCTGACAGTATTGTTGTTCAGTTGCAGGGCCGAGTAGTCCCGGTTAGTTTTGGAGCCATTGGTAAGCCTGCTCTGGAATTTCGAATTTTCCCAAAATTGCAGGGAGTATTGCGGATGCCAATAACAAGGATTATAGCATGTGCTCAGCGGATGCTGGCATGCCTCAACACAGCAATGACAGGAGATAGCAGGACCAGTGCAACGACTCTGGTTTGGGTGGGCGCTACCATTTTTCCGGCAGGCTTGTCAATGGGCTGCTACGTGGTATGCCACTTTTGTTCTGTTGTCTCTGCTACAGCTTTACCAACGAACATATGCTCCATTGAATAGGTTACTGTACATTCTACACATTCGCATCATCTCCGAACACAAACCCTAAGCCCTACCTAAGCCCCGAAGCCCTAAACCGGACTGTGCATCCTAGGCCAGCACATCTTGAAACAAGATTTTTCGGTGACGTCTCTGCCGCCATGTCCGCACGACGAATCCTGCGAGGCTGCCACAGAAACCTACCTCTGGTTAGTAGGGAATGGAGTAAAAGATCTTTATACATTAGTAATTCCTGGCCATATAATTTGCGAGTAACTATAACATCCCCTTTGGTCCTCCCGATGTTCTCTTCCTTGATGACCAGTAAGGAAAGGCTTGCCAGGCACCTGGCAAGGCAAGAACATTTGCCCGGCCGGCCACGATCCCTGCATCTTGGGAGCTCAAACCATAAAGGTGTAGGGTTTAGGGTTTAGGGTTGCCATAATTGTGTAGGCTTCTGGGGCTTGGTGGTCTCTTCGGGATGACAGCGCGTAGAACAGCTCTCAGAGATAGACATCTCCAATTCCAGCATTGCCGACAGATAAGGCATAGAGCATTGTTTCACTGCTGGAAGTTTGTCTTCGTTCGTGAAGCTGGGCTGCTGTTAAGGAATCTCATTTAAGTGACCATAACTGTTATAGCGCGAGTAATCTGGTTTCCTTAATCATATCCTAGCTCGAACTCTTTACATCCTAGAAATATGCTGTATAACCCCAGCTTCCATATGGTTTCCCTAGTCCTAAGCCTTAAACCCTAAAGAGTGACGCAATTCAAGTTCTAGATGCTGGGGTATTATCCCTAAGCCCTAAACGGCCTCTAAAGAATTCAGGAAGCATTACGGGCCGGTCTTTCTGGATGCTTTTTCTTGGTTGCGCCGTTCCTACTGCGACAGACGGTGAACTCCATGCGCGAGGACTTGACTGATCCCCTACCCTTATGCGGCTTTAGAGTTTAGAAGTATTTGGGGTTATCTGGGAATAGGTTGGAAATGGGCATAACACATGGAACCTACTACTTGCATCATGTAGGTTTTAAGGTTTGGGCTAATCATCCCCACCCACCCCAACATTTAATATTCCCACTGTGGAATATATGATTTCTTACTTGGAATATTTAAGTTGAAGGTGCAGAGGTGTCAAGATGAGGGGAGTGGATCTATAATCACAATCGCAAAATTGAGGACACTGAGAAGTCTAGGCACTATTAGCAGCAAAGCTGTGCTGTGGCAACACCTGCGACAACCGCTGTGACAACAGCTGTGACAGCAGCTTTGGCAGTGATTGCCAAAATGACCTCCCCCTAGCAGGCCCCACCGCTCCCCGATTCCCCGGATAGTTCCATCATATAACGGGAGGAACATGTATTGTTAAGGGATTTCGTCGATCTTCTGGGGGGGGGCGAAGAGATTGGATTGGGTATTGGGAAAGTTCAAGATAATTAGGGGGCTCTGTTCCCCCCTGAACCCTAAACCCCAAACCCCCAACCCTAATTACAGTCAAGTCATAGGGTCCTTGTTTTGGGGGGCTCCTAAACCCTGAGCCTTGAAGAGCCAGGAGCTTTGGCTGGAAGGATTTGCATATTTGTTGGGCATTGCGGCTTGTGGTATGACACTGGTTTCGACAGTAAGTTGTTTTTTTTCATTTTTGAGGGCTGGTGTTCACAACTACCAGAAAAAGGTGGCCTCTTGGTCCTACCCTGGATACTAATAAAATCCTGCGTGACCCTAGGTACCTTAGACCTTGCGAACAGTATTTGTATACTATACTCTAAGCTCATGCAGATTTTTAAGCGAACCGTGGCTTACTACCGGATATCCTAGGATTGGTGGGCTGCTACAACAACATGGATTCCATGGCTTCTCCCATTTTGGACGGCAGATGTGGGCAGCGTTAGTGGGAAATATTTTCAAGAAGGCTCGAAAAAGCTCCAAATTTCATATTTGTACCCTTAAGGTTTGTTGCCCGGTGTTTTGGGACAATACGCCTTAATTAAGGACTGGATTCTATGGCTTAGGGATCCAAAACCCAAGGGTACAAGCCCTAAAGGTAAAAAGGAAAACTGCCTGAAAGGTTGCAAGCATCGACTCTGGCACATTTTCGGCAGATTTCAGCGAGGGGCAGGTGATATCCATGATTGGACAGGATGCAAGCATCTTTCCGTACATGGGGCCCTTCCTATGCATTTTCCTGGCGATGCCATGCAATGTCGTGCTACCATCCATCATCCTTACATACTATTTGCGTGAAGCTTTTCTCGTTGGTTTAGCTTCCTGTGTGCTTGTGTCGGTGCTGAGCAGTTGGGCAGCGGCGGCCTACAAGCGGAAGGTCATGAGGGGTTCAGTGTTGCACCCCCCAGGTTACATATTCATACAAGTGTTTATTGAGGCTTCAGGTTGAGGGTTCTGGGTGTAGGGCATACGGAGTGGAATCTGTAGGCGTACGGCCTTTTGGGAATACAACCCTGGAGCCCTGGAGGTCAAATCCAAGCTGACCGTGGCTGATTCGCGCCTTGTACTTGTCAACGAGACTCTTCAAGGACTTACAGGTTGTCTGACGGTACTGGACAGGATGCCTATAATAGCTCCTATAGAGTGTAGTTTCTATTATGTCATCCATTTATTCCCTACTAATAATCAGCAAGAGGAGCTCGGTCCATCAAGTACTGTGCCTGGGAGGGGGCACTGGAGGCAAGGATCAAGCGAGTGCGAGATGAAGAGGTGAGGCTCTTGTCATGGATTCACTTGTGCTACGCCCTTCAGCAGGGTGCCATGGCTGCGCTACCTCTGATTGGGATTGCCACGTCCTTGCTGACACACGCAGCCCTCGGTCGTTCGCTTGAGGCAGACATTGTAGCCATGACCGTCGCGTATTTTGACCCCCTGACGTTTGGCTTCATGCTTTGGCCGAACTGCAAGATGCAGGTGCAGATGATGAGTGCGGGTGTGACTCGTATTGAACGCTTCTTGCTGGTGGAGGAGATGGAAGAAGCCTCACAGCCTGTCCCAGAAGAGGTTGAGAAAGGCATCTACCTAGACCGAGCTAGCTTCTCCTGGAATGGGGACAAATTGCATCTACAGGATGTCAGCTTGACCGTAGGATCCGGACAGCTTCTCATGGTAGTTGGCCCTGTGGCCTCGGGCAAGTCCACCTTGGTTTCGGGCATCTTTGGCTTGGTCCACCAGGTTGAGGAGGGCGGCTCATGCCAGCTTAAAGGGCAGCCGGCCTACGTGCCCCAAAATCCGCAAGTCCTAAACGCTTCAGTGCGGGAGAACATCCTCTTCGGCTTGCCTTTCCTGGAGGAGAGGTATGAAGAAGCCATCTCGGCATGTTGTCTCGATCAGGACTTGGATCAGTTTGTGGAAGGAGATGCCACAGAGATAGGGGAGAAGGGGATCACCATCAGTGGTGGCCAGAGAGCACGCATTGCTCTTGCACGGGCGTATTATTCTAATGCAGATGTCGTAGTGCTGGATGACCCCTTATCTGCAATGGACGCTCATATTGGTGCACGTGTTTTCTCTGCCTGCGTTCTTGCCCTGCGAGCACAGGGCAAGGCCATTTTGATGACAACGAACCAGTTGCAGTTATGCTCCTCTGCAGAAACTCGGTTTTGCAAATGCACAAGTTTTTGTTATTTCCGAGCAGGCCTTGTTTGCCGCAATCCGCTTGCCTGCCATCCCCAACGTTAACCCAGGATAGGGTCCTCGCACTGCACGCGGGACATGTAGTCAGCCAGGGCCACTTGGCACAGGCGATTGGCGAACTGACGGGCGTCGGCCAGGCGGAGCTACAAGGAGCAATGGGTTACCCGGGATACGTAGGGCCCGAAAGGGATAGGTAGGGGATATCTGGGGTTGATCTAGAGGTTTTCAAGGGGCAAATAGGATACATGGGGCTCAGACGTAGGGAAAAGGATTGTGGAATAGAAGCAGCTAGGTTTATAGAGTGGTTTAGCTTCCCAAAGTTGGGGGCCCCACGTTGGCTCCCCAGAATACGGATTATAGTTTTTGAGATATATTGGGTTCCCCTGTTTATGGAAACCACCGGTAACCCCTCATGTTTCCTCCCTCTGGCATCCCGTGATCCAAAGGAAATAGTTTGCAACAGAAAGAGCCCTTCGTATTCCTGGTTACGGGGGATCCCCGTGGCCCGATTTCATTAGCCTGTACAGGTTACAGTCAGCGCGCAGTCTTTAACGAGATTAGGCTACTCAGGTGTAGCTACGCGAAATCCTGATCCTGAACCTTGAACCCTAAACCCCTACGGCTAGGCGATTTGTGAGCTGCATCAAGCAACCCATCTGCGACCTTTGAATTGTACGTTCCTGTTGCCTCTGCGAGGAATCAAGAGCACACATCGTGTACCATGATTCTTGCAAGTTCCCATTAAGTTATGTAGCTCGGATCATATCCCAAAGCACGTAGTCCTGCACCGAAACCCAACAGCAAACTCCACTATACTCCCATCACATATTTGCAAAAGAGAGAGGGCCGGAAGATGAATCGTGGGTGGCTCCCGAGGAGCTTGAGCATTGCATCTGTGGCTAGGGGTTCAGGGTTTCGGGGGCATAGTTTTCCGGGGTGGGGGTCACACTGAATATTTTGAGAGCATGTTTTAGTTGCTGGGAACTTTGTTGCTTATAGAACTGCCAAGAGTAAGCATACATGTCCTATCCGACACAGTACGTACGGCACACAATCACACGCAGACGTACCGGTAAAGCTCTTTCTCTCTCTCTCTCTCTCTCTCTTTCTCTATCTGTATCTGTCTCTCTCTCTCTCTCACTCTCCCCCCATGAACTTGTCAACCTCAACCCACAACTTAAACAGCGACACTTTTCCACAACTTTCTAGTCAATCCCCGGGAAAGCCCGGAAAGTGGGTAGGGAAGAAAGACATAGTTATAGAGGACTCTCTCTGGACATGGATCCCGCGTGGGTATGTCGGTATATGTAGTTATGATTATAGGGATCCGTTCCCTCACTTCTCATTAGGAGCCCGGCCCGAACCCGAACCCAAACCTTAAACCCCAAACTGTGCACCCCAAACCCTAACCTTAAGCCCTATACACCCCAAACCTCAAACCTTAGACCCCAAACCCTGAACCTTAAACACAAGCAGAACCAGGAACTAAGCCCCTAAATACCCTAAACCGTAAACCCTAAACCAGGAACTAAGGCATGAGCCGGAAGACGGCCCAGGGTCCTCGGCGAGTAGAGACGTCCGGTAAGTTTGGCATGAAGCCTGAAGCCTGGCTGTTTTAGGTTTACGTTTTCAGGGTTTGGGGTTTCAGGGTTAAGGGTTTGAGGGTTTAGGGTTTCAGGGTTAAGGGTTTGAGGGTTTAGGGTTTCAGGGTTTTGGGGGTTTAGGGGTTTAGGGCTTCAGGGTGTAGGGTTCAAGGTCATGTTTTAGGGTTCAGGGTTCAGGGTTTTGTATTTAGGACTTAGGGTTTAAAGTACCCTAATGGTATGTAGAACAATTTGGGCTTTGGGCTGTTTTAGACTTGTTGGGCCATCATTTTACTTACTGTTGGGGTCC